GATTTTAATGTTTTTGTCATTATATATATCGGGGACAATATACGTTTTTGTTTTTGTTGTTTATTTAATTTATCTTAACTAATTTTATCTATAGAGATTATATAATGAGCAACTTTTCAAATCGCATTATGTCCACCTTGAAAAAGTAGAATTTTCTTTTAATAAAATTTAACTTTTTGTAGGATTGTTCCACTATACAGGGCTGTGTGCAGGATTTACTCGTGTGGTTTTCTTAAATTTTATAAAAAAAAGAAGCTATACAAAAAAACTATCAACTGATGGATGTACATAAAATATGATATATACAGTCATATATATTTTTAGATTATTTTAAGATATAAATCTTTAAGTAAACTATTTTTTTTAAATTGTAGTTTAAAACCCTTCTAGATAACGCTTGAATCCTCAATGTAAAAATAGCGGAAATGCCCATCACGTTAAAATATGCTAAAATCAGTAAAAATAACCAAAATATGCAAAATGCATATACAAATATTACATATAATATTCATTACATATAATAAATATCTATATCGAAATAAGGGCCGTTCCGAAACTGACGCACTTTCATATATGATATAGTTTTAATAAAATTTAATTTATATGTTTTAAAGGTACTACCAAAATACAAAGGGCCCTTCAAAGTTCAAAGGATTGTTATAAGAAATTGTAAAACCTAAGTTAATAAATTAACAATTACATCGGTATAGGTAAAAGTTAACACAATCAACATTCTAAGGATCAATTGTATAATAATAATAATAATAAAAATGTATTACCTATATGCACATTGGAGTGGGTCAAATATCCGCTTTTGTTAATTTGTTAATAGCAAAAATATTAATCTTCAAGAAAAAAAATCGGTCATCTTGCACTTAAAACTAAAAGTATATTTTAAATATAATTTTTTAACTAAATTTAATTCTTTACAAAACAGTCCTTAAAAATTATCGCATAAATATTATGGTTTCAAAGATAATTTAGATAATTGAGATTTTATTTTTAAATTTTCTTTATTATAATTGAAATCGCAATTATCTCTAAAACTTTAATATTTATGCGAAAATTTAAAGAAATATTTTTTGTTTATAATTAAATTTACTAACAAACTTAATACCTAAAACCTAAAAATCATGCCTCTGGCGAGCATAATAATTATTATATAATTATAATAAAAGATACAAAAATAAATAAATACAAAGTTGAAAGTTAACGAAATCAATGCCTGTTAAAAAAATATGTATATTTTATTAAAATTATGATTTAAATAGTACATTTTTTATCCAAATCTCTTAAAGGTGTCCAAAGTAAAAAAAAAATAATTTTGTAAACAATAATTCTCTTCCTGCTTTTGTTAAGTTTAAAAAAGTTTATGTAAATATCACAAGAATTTCGTGTAACAACACTACTTTTTTGACATTTAAAAGACAGTTGAAATATATGGGTAAAGTTAATATTTCCGACTCTTGAAAAGCACTTCTGCAATCATTTTTATAATAAAACTTTAGAAATTTAAGTTTTCTTTGTAGATCAAATATTTTCTGACTATGGGTGGAATGCTCCCAAACCAGGTTTTAGACATTGCACAAAGTGGTGTAAATTAAACATATTACAGTATTTAAATCAATAATTTTATAAAGAATTACTAATTGCATAGTTTTTATTTGGATATAAAAATTAAAATACACATTTTTGATTTTGCAACATTCGGTATAATTTTAATTTATTGTAAAAAAACAAAAAAAAACAAATAACGCTAAATTTTAATTTAAATGAATATTAATAATATTGCAACTATCTGTATTTATACAGGGTGTCCCAGAACTCGCGCCACATAGAAAAACGGAACGTGCCGAAAGTAACGTGAAACACATATTTGAAAATTAAAATTGTCTAACGCGAAGGATAAGCGAGATAAGAATAAAAAACGATAGCCAATCCCAATAGATGGCCTTAGGGAATTCTTTAAATTGCTAGGATACTTAGGTTGCATTTTCGATAATAAAAAATATGTAAAATATTTGGTCCACTGGAATCCAATTCATTGTGACACTGCTGTCAAACTCCTGTCATTAATATTATATTAGGTTATAAATTAAGTTATTATAAATAATGTTTTCCTTAGATGATTATACTGAAATGATAATTATTTATTTATTTAGTGTGGGCGCAACGCCAGGGAGACAACGCGAGTTTTTTCCCAGCCCTTTCCTAATCGTTATTTTAAAACATTGGCGTTTTGAAGTATAAGTCATAGATTAATAACCTTATTTTTGAAAGCTTTTGACAACTTAGTAATAAATATAAATACAGTTGGCCAAAAGATTTTTAAATGTTTTTAATACAACAATGTTCTATCGTCTCCTAGCAATTTTTTAAGCTCCTACGTTTAACCTAGGCGAGAGCTCTCGGTATTGGCTGCCGCTTTTTTGCTCTCATTCGATTACACTATTACCTAGAAATTTTTTATTTTTAAATTTGGCATCTCCATTGCTATCGGCACGCCCCCTTTTTCTCTGTGGCGCGAGTTCTGGGACACCATGTATAATGATTTTTAGTTTATCGTGGAGGGGTTACACGCTTATAAAAACAATCAAATAATCACTTAAAAGTACTTTTATAATAGTATATGAATTTGGATAAACTTTTCACCATTGCTGTAAAATAACCAAAAAGGTATTTATTAAAATGTTAATTTACAGTTGTTTAACAGTGCCAAGTTGTATTGTTAATTAGGTAAATACTAATTAAAATTTTAATAAATTCATGAGGTATTGTCATATTTTTGAGAACTAAGATAACTCGGTAACGTAAACTTTGGATAAACATAATTAAATATTGTAAAGATTCAAGAAAGCTTATTTTAAAAGAAAAAATAATGTTTGCTTTCTTACAGCAGCAGCAGCAGCAGCAGCAAAGGAAAACAATAGGTTTGATATCTAGGCAGGCAGGCAGCAAGTGCATGGCGGGCCAATTTTCAAATTCAATTTACGTGAAACAAAAGCCCTCCCCTTTTATCTTTTGTTTTATTCTCTTGGACCAAATATTTTGTTAAGAAAATTCCCTAGGTTATATATAAAATATTGACCATGCCAGAGAATTTTCCAACTTTCATCATAACGACCAATGTAGAACATTTCTTTTCGTATCTATATTGAATTTAGTTACATTTAGATTCATTTATTACTACATTTTTAATTAATGTCGCTCTATTTGTAAAGCTATGACTAATATATACATACACTATTTGCCAAACTATGTTTATGTTTTAAATTAAATTTACATTACAATTGCTCAACATATTAATTTATGTAATTAATGCAAATACATAATAGTATAATTATATAATTAATAAATAATAATATTATTTAGTAAACATAATATTATATATTTATTTTTATGTTTAATAATTTTTTCAGGTTACTTTAGAAGAATTTGTTTGAAATAGTTTTTATTTTATGTTTTTTCATGAAAAATTATTCTTGAATCGAATTATTTCGTATTGTTTATTGTACAAAATTTTAAATTTACAATACAATATAAAAAGTATTGTCAGCAGTAGATTTGAATAAAGGGCAGAGTTTCTGAAATAACACAGAAAAAAATATTTTTTTACGTAATTCGATTCGTTGAGCATTTGATTTTTTTTTATTTTGATTTTTTCATTTATTTTGAAATCAAAAATTATTTTTTTAAACTGTAATACCTAGATACATGACAAATCTTAAAATTTCTTTAAAATCGCTGCAGTAAAGGAGATATTTGAATCTTAAAAAAAAAACAATTTTATTTACTTTCTACTTCGTGGACTTTGTTAACCATTAATTTAAACAATTAAATAAAAAATAATTTTTTGTAACAAAAATAAGATAAATAAGTACATATTCTTCTAAAATTAATAAGTATGTAATTTATTTTATCCTCTTAATAATATCAGTTCATATTCAGTACATATTCTTCTAAAATTAATAAGTATGTAATTTCTTTTATCCTCTTAATAATATCAGTTCTAGTGCTACTTTGGAATTTGTTTAAATTTTGACATTTTTTTTGTGCTAAAATTAGCAAACGCCATAAAAAGAAGCCATATTAATTGGTTATGGTAGAAATACGAATATTTTAATATCCTTAGCATCCCTTGAAATAACGGCCCGCCTCCGGTCTAGGGGGCAAAAAATTTCAAATAAATAAGATTAGTTTAGATTGGCTAACGGGTGACTATAAGGCCTGCACTACTGCGCCCTAAAAGCGCTATGGTAGTTCTCGTAACTCTTATACAACTGCAGTATACATACAGTGCTTGCAAATCCAAGTCCGACCGGTTTGGGAAGGACGCGTGAAAATAACAAGGATAGAACGCCAAACAGAAGGCGCTTACAATACGCACGCCTGACGCTCTGACCAATCAAATTCTGTTTGGCATTCTATCCTTATTCTTTTCACGCTGGTATTGTACAACCATCCTTCCCAACGCGGTCGGACTTGAATTTGCAAGCACTGTATATCCAGATTGCTTGTAGCGTGGTTCCCTGATGTAGTCACCTGGCTTCTGGCTTTCCATCTTGCCGAAACGCATTCTACACAGTGCATCACAGTGGCATAGTATGTGCAGTGGTGTTTCGTCCTCCTCTTGGCAAATCATGCAAGTCGCCTCGTCTGCCAGCCCTAGGCCCTCCATGTGATTGTTAAGCCTGCAGTGGCCCGTGAAAGTAAGGAAATCTTCCTTTTATACATTTTTTGGTATGCATTAGTTTATTGCAATTGCTCTACCAATCGTAAGGCATCTTGTTTATCGATTCCTTGACATAAGTCTTGGCTGTGGATACTGCGACTCAACAGAACGGTTTTGGGCCAATGATCTTACTTGAAGAGCCGTTTCGGGCTAATTCATCTGCTCCCTTGTTGCCTTCTGTACTGCTGTGCCCTGGAACCCAGTTTTTAAAGCAGTTGTAAGCAGTTTCAAATTAGTTTTGATCTTACTTTTATGGCATCTAACGCCTTTAGTGCTGCTTGACAGGATGGTCCGACCTCAGTTCCCTGATCAACTTCAGGTGCGTGATCCCGTGTAGTTGACTAATTGGCTTGTGTCCTTGTAGTAGGCTGTAACCCACAGATCTTGCTTTTCCCTCTATGAAAATGTAAAGTGGTGACAAGTTCAGTAGTACTTCCATTGGTGTCGTGGCCACCATGCGTGGTAGTAGTATTTATGCATCCTGTGGCCGCTAAGCATGCCTGTCTTTGAACGCGTTTGATAGTTTTTACCACTCCGGCCTGTTTGGATTTGTTCACCAGACCACATATGTCACCATGGGTCTCACCATTAATGTGTAAGCCGTATGGTCATTCAAGCGTTCAGACCCCAGTATATACTTCTGCACATACCTAGGCAGATGTAAGATTTACGTGCAAGGGAATTTAGGTGCGAATTTCCATCAGCATTTGATCAAAATGACTCCTGGGTATTTAGCCTCTGTTAAGAATGGTATTTATACTTCTACGGCAGGAGTAGAAATACCATTCTCAACAGAGGCTACTGGTGGGAGTCCTACCAGTACCGGTGGCCTTAGTCCTATTAGTTCTTTTATTCTGGTATAGTTAACAATTGTGGTTTTGAGCTTTTGGTTTTACACCGTGTTGTCTTGTCATACCGCTATGTTAGCGTACACTAGACAATGGAAGCCTTTAAGGCTGAGCTTGTTCAGTAGATCATCCACTAGGACTGCCCATAAGAGTGGAGAGAGAACAAGTTGGCTAAAATACTATTTAATCTTTTTTTTAATAATAAAAAGAAAGAACAGAGTTTAAGTCCTCGAGTATGTTGGAGATGTAATAAACGATAAGAGCGTCGTCTAGCGTGTTTTAAAAGACGTTGCATCCCTAGTAAATATAGCGACGACGCTTTTATCATTTATCAAAGCTCCAACATACTTGCTGCCTAAGCAGACTGAAGGGCCCCCTTTTATTTACCGCTTGGGCCTCTAACGGTCCGCTACTGATCCATTGCACTGGAGAAATTATTATGAATTAGGCCGAACCGCTAAAGCAATATCTTAAAAAAATGCAGTACACCAAACGTAATCGAGTACAAATAAAACATCGGAGTTTAGCGCCATAGTACAACTGTAAAAGTCATGCAAATGGCTAGCTGATAATATATATGTATATTAAGCTTTAAATCTGCGAATTGAAATAATAATGATTTACGATTACAAAAATAGCAAGAAGGGAATTTAATGAGGTACAGTTCTTTAACCCTTATGTGACTGAATGGGTACCCCTGTATCCATTCAGCTTTTAGGTATGAATATCTTTTTTGATTAAAATCGAGAAGGTTTGCCATTTCGTGACATTTCTAAATTAGGTATTTTCTACACAATAGTATAATTTGAAATACATGTTTACGCTTTTTCTAGTCAACAAATTTTAACTTTTTTTAAAGGTCCTGGGTAAAAATAGAATTTTTCAATTGTTTATGACTGAAATAGATCCAAAATGTTTTTTAAAAAAATTTCTGAGGTCGCAAATGAAAAATGGGAGCACAGTATTTTGGTACCATTTATTGCATAGACACACCATTTAAACATTTTATGATGAAGTTATTTTTAACTTATATTTTGGCATTTCATGAAAAACATATCTGTTATTAAAATTACTACCAAACGATAATCCTAATATTAAATCTAATTAACTTAAAACTAACTAAACGATACGACCGTCGCGACGGTTAAAATAGCACTAAACCAGGTACTTATTTTCCGTATGTTTTGGTTTATTCTATGGTATTTAACGCATGTTTTTATGGTGTTTACTGTTTTTTATCGTTCAAATTATTTTGTTTTCTGATTTTAATCCTTCAATTTATTATTTAACATTTTTTCTTTGTATCATGGGTGTTGTCCGTATCGTCTAAACCTGACCTCGGAAATTATTTTGGGCGCCGAAATTGCGTCGATTAGGTCAAAATCTATAGGACTAAGCTATTTTTATTACCGACCTTTTTTTGTTGTTGACTAGTGTTATTAATGTTCAAAGTTTTTCCACACACAAATGACCGTTTGTGCAGACGCGTGTCAAACGGCCCCGCAGACCCCGCCACGCGGGGGGGCCCCTGGTATATTGGGGGCCCCCGGGCCCCCAATATACTCTAAGAAAAAGTAATACCTATGTATATCAAACAAACTCCAAAAATACAAATAACACATATTTAAACATTTCAAATCCATATTTAATGTCACCATTCTTTCGAACATAAAAAATGTGAAAGCCCAAACAATTGTCAACCCTGGCTGGTCGAAACCTCAGTGATTCCCCGTTTTAATGGGAATTTCTGGATATTAGCGAGTCTTTGTTGTTTCACTTGTTATAACGTATACGTTTGAGTTGAGTTCATATTTAAAATATTAAAATGAGTAGTTCGCGCAAATATCTGAGTGGGGCTCAAAAAAGAAAACTAGTTGAAAAAAAGGAGGAGGAGAAGAAGAAGATTGCCAAAATGATATAATGAATTAATTATTAATTAATTAATTAATTATATTGTGTATAAATATTTACTATAATGGGTTATTTTTGGAAAATATAATAGGGACATAGGGGGCCAAAAAAAAAGTTCGCGGGGGGCCCCCAAAAAAATTGACACGCTTCTGCGTTTGTGTACCGATGTACAATTTAGTTTAAAATGCCAAATAATATATTTTATAGCTAAAATGAAAACGCAAAGTTTATCTACATCTATATATTTAAAAAAAAACAATTGTTTATTCAACGGTGTAAAGAAACAACTAAACTGTCAATACCAGTCCGCCGCAATCAGTTGATTCCGTTGCTGTCGCTTTTTAATCCGAAACTATTGTTTTTTAATTGCCCTAGGGTAAATTAATAATATCAGCCTGGATCTAAGAAAGAAATAAATAAGGCTTAATTGCTAAAACTGTTTGATGAAAATTTATCTGTGGCTTTTTAAATAAAAAAAATAAAAAAACTGCCTTATATTTTATAATATCTTGTCTCTTCCTAGTAGCATAGCTATATTATATAATTGTTATATTTATGTTATGACCTTTTACCATTTAGAACCATTATTACATTGGTTAAGAACTTCTCTAGTTTCTGGCTCATTTTGAACAATATCTTCAATAGTAAAAATAAATATTTATTACAACTCAGTCTCGTTAGTCTGCTTCAATTATAATTATTAATTTAATCGATTTCGTTGTTTTATTGTTGAACCGAAAAAAGCAAAACAACAAGAAAATTATATTTAAACTTTGTACGTACCGGAACCGGAAACTGTTCTGCCAAAACATTTCCGCCTCCGGTTATAGTTCTACCTAAAATGAAAGAAAATTAATTCGATACACGGGTGACGAGAGCCTCTAGAAATCAGTCAATCTACGTTTGTATGGCAAACCGATATCGCGATAGTTAATCACACTGAACTGTTTTGTATGATGCATCATAAGGGATACAGTTTTAGACTTTATAATGGCACTTTTTCCTATATTCTTATGAATAAGACGCATGTCATAGAAAAATGCATTCCATGACTCAAGTTAGACCAAATGCAAAATTAATTATTCGAAAGGGTAATTACTTAGGAATAGTTGACTCATCTTTGCATGAAACAAATTGCATAAAAAAGCAAAGCTTTTTTCTTTGCAGCTAAAGTTTAAGTTATAAAATAATTACTTTATTTTTAACATATAAATGATATCTTTGTAAATGTATTGATATAAAGGGTGTTTTTTTAAGATAGGTCTTTTAATACAAATAACTTTTAAACCATGCTGTCATTTTTGATAATATTTTAATATTACATTTTATGTTAAGTCATATTTCGCAAATTATTGTGAATTACACTGGAATAACGATTTCGTATATTTCAAACCTTACTTTGAAAAAAACTCATAAAGAGGATTACCTGAATTATATGGTCCACATAATAAACTAGGAAAAAAGTAAAAATCGAGCTTTAAACTCTTTCAAAATAAATTCCCAAACTTAAGTTAAGTTTTTTATTAAATTTAATAAAAATACCACCAATTTTATAAATTAAATTTTATTATTCACCTTAGAAGTCATGTAAAAATGCTTAAATTCAAAATATGTTTAACACTTACTTGTTATCCCATCTATCAAGAGTACCAAGAGTACTAAGTTGTCTTAGTAAAATGCCCATGTATATTGGTCCGGTTATTCTTACAATAATTTTTATGCAACATGGATTACAAAATTGGGGTTTGTCCAAAGTTTAACATAATTTTTATGTACTTGCCCTGTATAATTACGAAAAAATATTTATTTACAAAGTAAATAGTTCTTTGTTAAACAAGAAAGATCAAGCTACACAATACTGAAAAATAAATATATTAAAATTTATTCAAAATTATTGATAAGACAATTGATCAATAAAAAACCGAATTATTAAAACAAAAGATAATCAATTTTGAGTGTTAAGGAGGTTCGGGCAAGGGAAGTTGCTTTCATACTCAAAACATAAATAGCAATAGGTACCAACTTGCAAACACAAAATTTATTTTAATTTATTTGATTTAAAAAAAAACAGAAAATTTTCGGATTTTATAATTATTTTTTATTTTAATACAAAAGACTATATACCTACATATACAAGGTGTCCCTAAACCTAGTGGCATAAATTTAGGAGCAGATTAAGCAAGTCAAAATAAGACGAAAATGTAAATAAATATTTTTCCTAATTACGTATGTTTAAAAGATACAGGGTGATAAGTGCTACTTATCATATCAGTTTTTTTTAATATAACTTCTACTATGGTAGACTTGCAAAGGTACGTGATATTTTGCTAACAGTCACTTACTACCAAAACACATATTCACACATAATTACAATTGTTCTAATAAACACAGTGTCGTAGAAAGAGGGGTTGCTTAAGCTTATTGTCCCATACAAACTTTGAGGTTAGGTTTTTATACCATTTGATGCAATTTTTCGATTACTCAGTTCGGCTACTATTAAAAAGGTGTACCTCTTAAACTTAAAATAAACCGTTTCCGATATATTCGAGATTTCAATAATTGTTATATCGCATTAAAGGACTAAAAGGTATATGATAACAAATTTTTAATTGAAAAAACTACAATTTTTTTTAATGT